TGCAGCAGGTTCTGGTAGTACAGTGTGGCTTCGCTCTGGAACTCCCGGAAGGCCTCGTCCTCCTGCTGGAACACCATCATCAGCTGCAGGAGCCCGTCAGCCGAGCCGTGGGTCTGGACCAACTGCAGGAGACACGGGACACGGTCATCACAACACAACAGCACACAACACAACACAACACCACAGCACAGTAAACTTCAGCAGAATAGAGAAATCAGTGAACATTTCATTTCAAATACAGCAACAGAACTGAACAGAACTGAACAGAACTGAACAGAACTGAACAGAACTGAGAAACAAGAGGAGAAATAAATGAAATCAGCATGTTAGAGACTCAGCGATACTCCATAACCCAACACAACTCCAGAACAACCCAACACAGCACAGTAGGTGTGAGTTCTGGTCTTGTCATCAGTGCACTGACTCCCTGTTAAATGTTTTAATGTGATTGACGACCTACAGAGCCCTGAACCGCTGAGCCGCCAGTGTTTGAGGAGGCTCCTGGTGTATTATAGCCCCACACGTCCTCCACCCTCGATTAATTCTGGACAACTGATTATTCCCAGAAGATCAGCATCCGCTGTAGGCGGTACATCTTTCTCTTATCTGCACTTAACTCTGGAACAGCCTCCCGGCACAGACACACTCTGCCAGTGTAAGACTAGACTAAACACACATCTCTGTGCATTAGCGTACACAGAACACACACACACACACACACACACACACACTGCTGAAATCCAGATCCTCTAAAGGAGTGCGAGTCTGCATTATTCAGGGAAAGCGGAGCCGGGAACACTTCCCTAAAACATTATATGTGAACGGCGTCTGCGCTTATGTTAGTCTGCTTCACTGTTACCAAAGTCTCCATAATCCTGGACCAGGCCGTATCCTGAGCTGATGCTGTGGTGGTCATGGAGGAGTGGAGAGCATGAGACTGATCCCTGTGAGACTCCAGTGACAGACGAGTCCCCACACAGATCCGGCGGGGCAGCCTGAACACCAGCCGGTGACCTGTTCACACCTGCAGCTTCTCCACGATGGACGTCCAGCGCTCTCCAGCCTCCGGCGCCTAGACTGCAGCTCTGCACTGCAGGAGAAATGGTGGAGCCCACCTGAGCCTGGTCTCTCTCCTTCACTTTGGTCAGTTGGTGAAGTTGTTCCTCCACTGTTCTGCTTGGTTTGGGTCTTGTGTTTCTGCTCATGGATGGATTTACTCTTCAGTGTTTGGACTCTCAGCAGTGAAGATGAAAGCACACTGAACTGAACTGAACTGAGCTTCAGCTCTGAACACTGGACTGACACCGCTTCAGTTCACTACAATCTACCATGTGAATCTGCATTGACAATCTACAGTGTGAGCGCGCTAGAGAAATGAAGGTGAATTGAAAAGTAGACCAGAAAGAAAACAGAGCAGAACAAGAGAACAGGAGAGGAGAGGACAGAGGGAATAACTCAGATTATAGAACAGAACCGAATACAACAGTACAGAAGAGAACCGTGTAGAGCAGAGCTGACCATAACAGAGCAGAACAACACGCGCAGAATAATCAGAACAGAACAGAACAGAACAGAACATGACATGACATGACATGACATGACAGAACAAAACAGAGCCTCACCGCCCGCAGCGCGTCCCCGGTGCGCGTCAGGTGCTCGCGCATGGCTCTGCTCTTGAACTCCTGCATGTTCTCGAAGTATTGACGCTCATCCTCCTCGGAGACGCAGAACAGCGCGTCCAGCACGATCCTGCGGCCGCACGCGTCCACCGCGACGCTCAGGTAGCGCTCCAGGAGGCGGCAGGGCGCGTCAGCATCGCCCCGCGGCGCGCCGGAGAACAGCAGCTCCCACAGGCCGGGCTCGCGGAACGCCGACAGGTCCGGGAACAGCGCGGAGAGCTCCTGCGTGACCGCGCTCAGCTGGTTGTGCGCGTGCGCGAGCTGCGCGCTGGAAAACAGAGCGCTGCGACTCCCGCTCGCGTCCCCGCGCCGCTGCAGCGTCCGGTCGTGACAGGTCACCGCGAACTTCGCCTCGATCTCGTTCCACTCCACGATGAACCGGAGCCGGTGACGCTCGCTCTCCGCGAACGCGTCGCTCCTGACCGCGACCCAGCCGTCCAGACTGTCCATCCGCTCGCCGTCCATAGCGCTGTGCGTGTGTTTCTCTTCCGCCTCTGTGTGTGTTTATGTTTTACTTCCGCCTGTTTCATCGCGCTGTCACGTGGGCTGGGGAATTCCGGCGTCCCCGTGACCCGGTGACGCGCGCACGCGGGCATGCGCACAGAAATATCCTCAGTGCAGGTCTCCGCCTCCGTCAGTCCGCTGATCTGCTGATCTGACCCGTTATAAATGTGACCCGCGCATTCATCTGCGGCTGAACCAGCACTGTGCAGCCCGTCCTGCTGAGACCTCTGGCGGACACTTTTAAATGACACTATGGAAAACCCAGCTGAAATCCTCCATGTGGGATTTTGCAGGAGCATCCTCACAGCTGACAGAAGCACAGCCTCGGGCGCAGAGCAGAACTAGGCAGGTTCCGTCCGCTCTCAGAAATGCAGAAGAGAGCAGGGAAGTTCTGGCTCCACCTGTCAGACTCCAGCCCAGAGCCGTCACCCGCTCACATGCAGAAGCGCTGATAACCCAAACCCAAACCCAGCAGAGTCTGCTCATCCCCCTCTGTCTGATCTGAGGAGATTCTGCTTCAGTCACACAGTTAATGATGACCCGGCAAGCTGATCCAGCTCATAACAGATCACACAGCGCCCCATTACACTTTACACCCCCCCAACAGCAGGCGGCCTACAGGCTGGTGTGTGTGTGTGTGTGTGTGTCAGCTGCTGATATTGGACACTTCAGGCTATATTTACTGTGCTCCAGCAGATCAGCAGAAACACTCAGAGCAGCAGCAGCAGGTACTGAACACACACACACACACACACACACACACTGCAAACCTGTCTATCTGAACAATTCAGAGTGTGTGTGAGCATGTTTGTGTCTGTTTTTGAGTAAGATTCTGTCAGTGTGAGTGTGTGTGTGTGACTGAGCTTATGTCTGTGT